AATTGTCAGCCAAATATTAGACGGGCCTATATGGAGAACAGTAAACACTAGGGAGGTACAATCAACCATTTGAGATCAAAAGGGCAGGTTTGTCTAAGGTCAGAGTTCAGACGGCTCATGAACAGAGGAGGACTAAGATAGGAAGCACAGGGAGGGAGTAACACAAAATCAAGGTATGTGGATTTTTGAAGGAAAACTGACCTGCTCTGTAAACTTGCACCCAATTCACAAGAAAAAGTCCAAATAAAACTCAACAGCAATAAAAATTAATTCCCAAATCAACAAATGTTTTTGTGACATTGGTCACTGCTACCCCATCCCCAAGTATATTAGCACTCTCCTCACTTCGAGCCTAATTTCCCAATTTCCATCTCTCCAGTTCTGTGTCCTCCCTTGCCGTTGCATCTTTGCTGCTCAGCACACTGCCCATTTGGTGTCCTATAGCTGTTTGTTCTAAGAACCACATTCCTCACCAGTGTTCCGGACTGTTTCAAGGGACACTCTGTGACTTGGCTGCAAAGTCTTTTCTGGAGTGCCTTCAGTTTCAGTAGAAAGGTCAGTAGCTTCCAGATGTCTCCAGTGTCTGTCAGACTAGTAAATCCATTCTTCTTTTTTTAAATTTTACTTTTATTTTACTACCCCCCCCCCCCCACATTCTCTCTTGTGCTCCTGGTCAGAGGAGTTGGTAGTGGTAGTTGCATCATCTAGTTCTTCTGGCCTCAGGCTAAGAGGATGCTGTGGTCCAGTCCTCCCCACCGGTCCCCACCACCACACACACACTTTTTGAAGAGTTGAACAGTTATCACCACAATCAAATTTTGATCATTTTCTTTATTCTTATATCCATTGTTATTAGCTCCCCATTTCTTCTTAGCTTCCCTTAGCATACCCCTACATAACCCTAAGGATCTATGCATCTAGTTACTGTCTCCATTATTTCCTATCCTGGATTTCATAAAGAAAGTCAACCCCTTTCCCACCCGCCCCCCAAAAAGAATCAGGCACATCAACATAAAACACAGTTAAACTTCAATCCAAAAGGAAGTAGAAAATAATCCGCACATACAAAAGTTTAAAATTGGTCAAGAGGGAAAACAAATGTTAGGATGTTACATTTTGAGCTAGCTGTAGCCGCGCAATTCTTTTCCAGTGCACTCTGTCTGAGGATAACACTGTCACATATCTGGTCAGTGGTCCAAGGGTGTGCAGTGGAGACTTAGTCCATGCGGGGACTCTGAAAATGGATTTTGGGCTTTCACTGTCAGCTATAGCCTTCTGCAAACAGGGTGCTCAGAATTTAAGCGCTAATACAATTCCCTCTTGGTATTGAATTTTATTATTTTCGATTCTTGGATCACACAGGCTGATTGATGTACTTCTGTGTGAATTTAGCTGACACCTCACTTAGATGTCTGCTTGTTTTAAGATAAGCTTTTAAGACCTCTGGTGCTATTCTCTCTTGTAACTGAGCACCATCTACTCTCTTCACCATACTTTGCTTCACCACATATACTTTCAGTGACCACTTCATGAGGGCAAGTATCAAGGAGGGCCAAATCATAAGAACTAATTGTTCTTAAATTGGGGCTTACAATTAAGTGTGAACTCAAAATCCATTCATATATCCCTGGTCCACTGTAGAGTCATCATTTTCAGCTTCTTGAGAAATAATCGAGATAACCTGCAGGGGGCACTTGGTATTTCTAACAGTATCATTAATCTAGCCAGTGGTATAGAATTTAAACTACTAATTAGAAAAGGAGAAGACGCATACATAGGAAAGCTTTTTAGACTAAAATACATGGAATATTCACTTAAAAATTAAAAAGTTAGTTGACTAAATACTGCTTGAGAAAAAGAAACACGGCAAAATTCTTTATAACAGTCATTCACTACTGCAAAACTATGCCTGTAGAACTCAGACATGCTGCAAAAAGCAAAGAAAATAGGACAATAACAAATATATGCTTGTCTTAGTTTGTCCGTTATTGGACAACCTTGGAAGCAGGAGATTGGAACCAAAGACCAGTGATTGACAAGACCACATCGTTGGGATAACAGTCACCTTCTTCTTCAAGGCTGTGGCTCTTGTGGGTTATCAATTCTGTGGATTAATTTTTTCCCTTGGTTTCCTTCACTCCTGTTTGCTCCAGGTCAGAGACCAATAGTTATATCTTAGATGGTCACTTTCACGAGGCTATAGAATGTTATCTTTATGCCCTAGATGTCCCCCAAGACTATGGTTCTGAACTATTAAACTCAGTAACTCAGTCCCACAAGGTGTTTTGAAATGTCCTGGAAACTTCCATAATTATGCCTCCTATGTACTCTATTATGTCTATGAACATATATTCAGCACATATATGTACATATCTACAAACACTCACAACCACGTGTGCTATCTTGTGTTCTCCCACACCTATACAGCATACATATCTATCTATATAACCACTTGCAAATTTTCAGTTAATATTTCTGTTCTTGCAGAGCTGTATGTATTATATTATTTACCATATTGATGCCATCTAAGGTACCATCTAATCAGTTCCAACTCATAGCGGTACAGAGAGCAAAGCACTGCCTGTTGTTGTTACATGCCGTCAAAGCAGTTCCCATTCATAGCAAACCTGTGTACAGCAGAATGAAACAGTGCACAGTCTTGCCCCATCCTCATAATTGTTATGTTTGAACCACTCTTGTCAGTCCATCTTCTGAGCTTCTCCTCTTTTTTTCTGACCCTGTGGTTTCCCAAGGGCATCCTTTCCTAGGGACTGGTCTCTCCCGGTAACTTGCCTAAAGTAGGTGAGACAGCACCTCAGTAGCCTCGCTTCTAAAGAGTATTCTGGTTGTACTTCTTCCAGGAAAGATTTGTTTGTTCTTTTGGAAGCTCAGGGTACTTTCAGTATTCTTTGCCAACACCAAAAATGCAATTCATCAATTCTTCTGTGATCGTCCTTATTCAAGGTCCAACTTTCACAAGCATATGAGGAGATTGAAAAAAACATGACTTGAGTCAGAAGCACAGTAGTCTTCAAAGTGACAACTTTGCATATTTAATATTCTTCACTATGTAATTTAAATGCACGTATCAATTCATATTTCATCTGTCTTGTTGCGATAAAGTCCATCCTGAAAGCTAGGCCTTTGAGCTTCATTCGTAAGTGCTTCAAATCCTCTGCACGCTTAATAAGCAAAGTTGTCTCATCTGCCTCTTATTATACGTAAGGTTCCACATGAACACAATGAAATGTTTTGGAATTCCCATTCTTCACATCTTATCCATAATTTGTTGTGATCCACACAGATGAATACATTTGCACAGTTAAGAAAACACAAGGACACATCTTCCTGGGATTCTCTACTTTCAGCCCAAATCCATCTTATATCAGCAGTGATACCCTTGTCCCATGTCTGTTTCCAATAACTTAAAATACCCTGGCTATGTACTGTTGCAGCCAATTATTGAATTATCTTCAGCAGAATTTTACTTGTGTGAGATGTTAATCATATTGTTTGATAATTCCTGCGTTCGGTTGAATCACTTTTCTTTAGAAGTGGCACAAATACAAATTCCTTCCAGTCTTCCCAATTTCTTAACATAGATGATTGAGCGCTTCCAGCATTTCAACCATTTGTTGAAACATCTCAATTGTTTTCTCTTCAATTCCTGAATCCTTGTTTTTCACTAGTGCCTTCAGTGTAGCTTGGACTTCTTGCTTCCACACCATGAATTCTTGACCATAAGCTACCTCCTGAAATCATTGAACACTAATCATCCCTTTTTGGTATAGTAATTCTGTGTGTTCTAGCCCCATTTTCTTTTGATGCTTCCTGTATTTTTCAACATTTTGTCCATATAATCTTTCAGTATTGCAAGGTGAAACTTGAGCTTTTTCTTTAGTTTTTCTATTTTGAGAAATGCCAACCATGTACTTCCTTATTGTCTAATTCTAGTTCTTTTCCATATTTCATGGTATTACTTTACGTTGCCTTCTCTTTCTGCCCTTTGAAATAATCTGTTCAGTTCTTTTACTTCATTGTTTCTTCCATTTGCTGTAGCCCTGTGTTCAAGAGCAAGTTTCAGAGTCTCTTCTGGCATCCATTTCGGTCTTTTCTTTCATTCATGTCTTTTTAATGACCTTTTGGGTTTTTCAATCTATGATGTCATCCTGCAACTCATCTGGTCTCTGGTCATTCAGGTGGGATATAACCAGTGTCATATTTCTAGGGTACGCTTTCATTTTCAATTGATGTTCTTTTCCCTACTCTACCCTGGCCTTGTTTTGAAATTTGCTCTTAAATCCAGAGGCGTTAAAGAGACCATACTTGGTATTCCTCAAAATAGAAAAACTGAAGAGAAACTTGGACCTTCAAGTTGCAATACTGAAACAGTCTATGGACAAAATGGTGAAAGACGCAGGAAGCAGCAGCCTTACAGGAAAGAGCCTAACTGCCGCATGGGCTTCCCAGGCTGGGAGCTCTATAGGAACAGACCACCACGTCTCCTCCTTGGAAGTCACTGGTGGGTCCTGATTGCCCACCCTTTGGTTGAAACCAAGCACTTGCCCATTGGGTCAGCAGGGCTCCTACCAGGAAGGAAGGATGCCCTCAATAAATGGAGATAATCGTAAAAACAGGTGGCTGTGATACAAGTTCTTTCTCTTTCTTTACTTGTTATTTCAATCGACCAATTTTGCATCACATAAGAAATTAACATAGCAAAAGCTTATTTACTCAGTGGAGGTTACTATACTTAGTTTTATGTCCCTTGAAGAGTGTCTCTACGTGAAGATATTTTGTGAATAATTTTGAATAATTTACTTTCTCTGTATGACTACTTGGGCATAGGTGAATTTGATAAATTTGATAAATGGATTTACCAAAATAAATATCTTCTATTGTTTGTATTTTTATTTGTATTTTATATACTTTTGGTACATTACTAATATAAATATATACATTTTGACAAAGTATTCATGTAAATCTTAAACTTTTATCAGGAACCATGACCGGAGGATCTCAAGTCCACCTTTTTTGGGGTGCTCCAACTCACCCACTGAAAATGACAGTGTCGCATGAGCCGGCTCCTTCCGTATCCACTACTCACCCCTGGGGAAAGGTGCAGCTGTTGTACAGTCAGCATGCTATACATCTGAAGGATGAAGAATACAGGCAGAAAACCCTTGAAAGTCATCCAGCCCTAGACAGCATTGGCTCTCCAGGTCTTAATAGTCATTGTCCAGTGCACTCTAGGGAAAGATCTGTTCATTTGGAAGCTGACTTAGTATGTTGTGTTTCTGAGACACAGAATATAAATTCCCAGAAGAGTCTGCCCTCAGGGATGAATGAAGTAGTGGACTCCAGTGTTCGAGTATGTGGGTTTAGAAACAGAATTCAGCATTTAACTGGAGAAGAAAAGAACCAAAGGCTTGTTGTTGGAAATAAGAAAATTACAGTTGAACAACATGAAGATCTGCCCAATATATGTACTCCAAACTTACAAAGAGCAAACTTCCCATTAGATCATAACAGTATATTAGATTCAATGTGTTCTACCAAACAAATCAACATAGGATCGGAAGCTTTAGAATCAACCTGTGTGTCAAGAACACCTCATGAAGTGCAAAATCCGTGTCTGGAATTCTCCAAGATGGCTGATAAGCCAAGTTCTAAAGAAATAGTTATGAAGGATTCAGACCTTAACTTATCTACTGATACTGAATTTCTCAGTATATTGACCTCCAGCCAGGTGGCTTTTTTAGCTCAGAGGAAGCATAAAGGGAAGAATTCTCTAAATAAAAGGGCCATAAACACAGAGATTGGACCAAAGGCAAGTCGTGAGGAAATAGTAACCAAAAATAATTTGGTTTGGCCTGGTGATACCTTTACAGAAGGTGAAAGTGGACAAAATGAAGCATATTCACTTGAACTTTTTAGCCCAGTTTGTCAGGAAAAAAACAGTAGCCATGATGTCATAAACCCTAATACAGATCTTGAAGGAATTATAAGATCGCAACAACTTTTCCGTTCTGAAGAAAAGCTGCTGCCAAATGAGATCTGTATTGAGTCGTATAGTTCAGGAATACTGTGCTCCCAGCTCAATACTTTTCATAAAAGTCCTATTAAAAGAAGTCGGGCCACTGAAGATCTACCAGGCCACTCTGAAGCTCCTTCTAAAGTCCTCCAAGTATCTAAGAAAACTAAGCTTCTTTCTAACGCAAGAGCTCTTCCTGTAGCACTGGACCAGAGGAGTGTGCCTCACTATGCGCTTCTTAAAAAAACAGCGTTAATAAAAGATTGTGATTGTAAAGACCAAAAATATAATTGCTTGGTCATGGTGTTATCTCTGTGTCATGTGAAAGAAATAAACATAAAATCAGGACCAAATTCTGGCTCTAAAGTACCTTTGGCAACAATGACGGTCATTGATCAATCGGAAATTAAGAAGAAGGTTTCCCTGTGGCGGACGACAGCATTTTGGGCCCTTACAGTGTTTCCTGGAGACATCATTTTTCTCACAGGTGAGGTTATCATGGTGCAGCGATAGTTTATTGTTAAAGCTGGGTTGGGTTCCCCCCACCCACCCACCCACTTGAAGTCCCTTGGGGCTCTTTCATTACCACTCTCCTCCTCTTGGCTCCAGTGTGATTGACCCAGTTGTAACACCCCTGTTTGTCTCTTTGCCATCCTCTGTATCCTGTCCATTGCCATTTCTGGGCCCTGGCTCTGCCATCCTTAGTTCCGTTCCTCCTTTCTACTCACTTTCTACTTTAAATAAAGCCTTTCTGGTTGCCCATCTTAGTCATTCGCTTTTAGTGTTCACGTTCTATCATCAGGCTTGTTCTTTGTTTTCTCTGTGTATGTCTTAATTGTGAGCTTTTATCAGTCGTCTCATCAGGAAAAGTAATCTTTCATCTACTTTATCATTTTTATTTATTATTAAAATGTTACTTACTGCCTTTGAAAATATAAAAAGAAAGAAAAACTCTTCACATCATACCAACCTCTTTAAACATTTGCAATATTTCTTCCTAGTCATCCTCCTTATGCTTTTAAAAATGTGTATATGTACCTAGCTACTAACTGTTACTTACTGGGACCTTACTTTGTGTCAGGGCCTGCTTCAGATGCCTCATATATTGTGTTAGGCTGGCTGTTCCAGAGACACCAAACCAGTGACACTGATTCAAAGAAAATATATCGAGGAAGAGGCCCCGCCCAGGCCAACTCAGGGCCATGGGTCAGAGGCCTGCTGGAGGCCCCTCCAGAGCCAGGCAGCTGCATGAAGGTGAAGTGGGAAGCCGAGCGATCACAGGCTGACGGGTACAGAGTTGTCGCATCCATGGTTGGCAGGAGCATGTTAGGGCACCAAGAGCCCCCTGGGTCTGCAGGTCACACAAGCCACTCACCCCAAGATGCAGGAAGGAAAGGGACAAACGAGAATGACCAGTTCCCCATAGGGTAGATCACACCCCCAAGGAAATGTCATTCGGCTGTGCTCTGATAGATGGTTTGGGCTCCATCCATATCTTCTTACAGGTGAATCACATTGACAGAAAAACAACCATCACACATGTATGTCAAATCATTACAACAGTCGTGTGAGGAATCTACTGATTATTATTGTAATGTTTCTGTTGCGGAAACTGAGGCACAAATAAGTAATTCACCGGTATTCATTTGGTACACATTTAGGAACTAGCAAGACCATGATTTGACTGGGTTAACATCACTCCAGTAGGTCCCTGAGTAGCATAAGGGATTGGCTCTCGACTGCTAACCTAAAGTTGGCAGTTCAGATCCACTCAGCAGATGCACAGAAGAAATGCCTGTTGATCCGCTTCCATGAAGAGTATCGCCAAGAAAACTCCATGGGCATTCTACTCAGTAGCATGGGGGTTTGTCACGAGTCAGAATAAAATCAGTAATAGTGGATTTATATACATTCGTACATGCATGTGTGTGTATATATATATCATCATCACTCCAGAATCTATATTCCTGCTGTATACAGGTAGTTCTTGACTTGACAAGTTGTGAACTCTGTAAATTGGTTCTGACATGCATTTGAATACCTCTTTTTTTTTTCTTCTTTCATTTTTTTTTTTAACTGCTTTAACTTTTATTTTTTATTATTTTAAGCTTAATTTATTCCCGAGCCATGAGTTTTTGCTTCTTCAGTTTCTTCTGGGAAATCTTTTTCTTCTGTGCAACCTCCTCTTCTGGTTTGGGAACGATCTGTTCCTTCTCAGTCAGGATCATTTCAACGTGGCAGGGGGAGCTCAAGGATGGGTTGATCCGACCATGAGCTCTGTAAGTCCGGCGGCGCATCTTGGGGGCTTTGTTCACCTGGATGTGCTCAATGATCAGAGAATCCACATCTAAACCCTTCAGTTCAGCATGACTTTCTGCATTTTCAAGCATGTGAAGCAAAAATTCAGCACTCTTTTTGGGCCACCGACCCTGGGTCCAACCCCACTGTTTGGCCTGGGCACACTGACCAACACCACCCTTGTAGCGTCGGAAAGGCACACTGCTTCTGCACAGTCACGTCTTTCAAGTATTTGGTGGCTTTCCGGATGTGCATGCCTTTGATGGCTTGGGCAGTTTCACGGGTGTTCTTGAAGTGGACCCGGAGGTTCGACCCTCTTGATTTGCAGGATTTTGTGGGGTTTTTCTGGGTCAAGTGAGTAGCGAACCATTTTGGCAGGTCACCTCAGGCCGCTCCAGTTAGAACTCTTCTTTCATTTTTATTACCCTTTATTAGCTACAGTATCTTTATAAATCTGAATTTGTAGTTTGGGGATCTGGTTAGAGAAATTACATATAAACTTAAAAGATGTAATTTCATAAGCAAATTACAAACTACTGCAACAACAGCAGAAGCATGGTCTAAGAGAGAGTCATTGTAACTGGAGTACATTGTAAGTCATGAATCACCTATTATAATCACAAAGAACAATGCTTAGACCGCTTTTTTTGTTTTATTTTTTTGAACCAGGGCTGGGCTAATATCTGAAATTGATAACATTTTGTTAAATGTACTTTGTTGAATGACTTTAAAATCCTTAGTGTGTTAGAGCTGAGATACTAGTCATTTTAAGATGAAAGATGAATTTCAGACTAGGAGGAAGTTAGTACAGCTTATCTACAACATATCTAAAGAAAAGAAGTCGAGCTTAGAAAAAGAAAATTGGAAGGCTGTCAATTTGAGTTCTGACCAAACAGTTTGCTAGGGAGTGAGAACTTTCATGAATGCATTTTCACATTGCTTTTGCAGTTGTCAAGAGCACTGCTTAAGACAGGGATAAACACGGGATACACTAGCTGGCTTAGCACTTTCTGGTCCCGTTGACAATATTGTCTGTCTTGTGGGATGCAGTCATTTCATTCCACAGCCTCTGTTCTGACTCATGGCTCAGTGAGCAGCCTTTTGCTTGTAGATACAGAATTGCCTGTATACAGATTCCCTTTCCAGATACAGAATTGCCTACCAGTTTAGACTGTGCTGAATTTGGGAGCCATTAGAACTTTAGGGCATGAATGGCCACCGTGTAGTTGTAAGCAAACGAATCCAAAGGTCAGATCTGACATACCCATTTGGAAGCAGTCACTTGGAATTTACATTCTTGTTTTTCATTCCCATTATCTCTAAAGTATTTGGGTGCTATCAGTATATCTTTATTTTAAAACTCTGTATTCTGATTATGTCCTGCCGGGGCAGCTCTCTCTACAATTTTTTTTGGTTCCATCATTTATTTTAATTAATTAATTAGGAAGCACATCCACATATGTCATCTTGTTTGAACTTTGGGGTAAGGAATGCTTACCAGCGACATTTAGAGATGCAGAAAGAAAGAGGTGTTAAGTGTCTGCCTAAGGAGACTTTGCCAGCATGGGCGTCTGAGATTTTTCCCCCCAAAAAAAGCATTTTATTGGGAGCTAATACAGATATCATATCATTCCATAGTTTAATCACTTCACTCTGTGTTTTATTAATTGCTACCGCAATCAGTTTCCAAACATTCTCTTCCCTTTTAAACTCCTTGACATCAGTTCCCCTTTACCCTCCCCTACAACCATACCCTATCCACCCCCACCTCATCCCCTGTGAACCCTTATTCCACTTGCTGTCTCCATAGGGTTTTTTGCTTAGTTTTGCTCCATGTATTATCTACTTTTTCTCTAAGTGATTCTTCCCTACCAAAAGAGTCCTACAGCTCTTTTTCTCATTAGAAAGTGTTCCTTACCAAAATCTTTCACTTTTAACATCTATAGAAAATGATTACTGTGCCATTTAGAGAAACATAATCAAGAGTCCTCTAAGGATACTGTATATTCAGATGTGTTGTGTTTACAGCAAAAGCGTTAACTGCATACTGAATATTATTTGCTCTTCTGTATACCACTCCTTTGGAACCATTACTTTGTTCTTTAGCACTGATATGTGTGTGTGTGTGTGTGTGTGTGTGTATCCCTATGTAAACACAAGTCATTAACTATATATTATATGTAAACTATATATATTTAATGTATATTATATATATTAACTAGATATATAGTTCTTTGGCACTGATATATAAATGATGGGTGTATATATCTATATCTATATCCCTATGTAAATACAAGTCATTAACTATATATGTATATCATACATATATATCAGTGCCAAAGAACATTGTAATGGTTTTTTATATACACACACACACAAATATATATATTAACTATATATATATATA